GGGGTGTCGGGACTGCTGAGTCGAGCGATCCTCATCCTACCACCGAGACTGTTGCTCCGCGGGGACGCCCGCTAAGCACGGGCACCGACCAGCTGCTGCAGATCCTGACAGCCCTGGCCTGTCTGTGTGGGTAAGCACAGGTTATTGATAGGAAGCAACTGAGAGAACAAACTTTTTAATATCCTTTTAGTGTTCCTTTAATTCCCCTTTTATGTTTATAGTATTTTTCCTTTAGTTTCCCTTTTTACTAACCAATATCGTGTTATCCATACTATTGTGTTAAGATCCTTTTTTGGTATCCCTTTTCACTAGTTAATACTGTATTAAATGTTGTTCGTAGTATTTGTTTTAATGCCACCCGATAAGGTAGTTATTTTGTATCCTTTTTTAGTTTTTAATTCCTCTTGCTAAGTTTATTACTATTATTATTATTCTCACTGTAATAAAAGATATTTTTTGTGTTTGAATATTTCTGGCACTTGTCTTTATTCCGGACATGTATCCAAACGAACTGTTACACAGACTTCCATTATAACAGTAATATATCTGCATGAATGTTAAGGGTATCACTGGTCAGAAATAGGGGTTTTTCTCTAGTACTTTGAACAAACATTTACTGAGGTTTTTTTCCCCCAACACAGGCAAAAATAAGCAAGTTGTTTTACAGTAAAATAGATGTTAAGACTATGCAAAGACATTACCTCATTAACCTCAAGATATAGCAAGAAGAAGGAAACTTAATCCTCAGGTAGGCAATCACTGAGAAAGATACTGCTGAAAGGCAAACTTCTCGTCAAGAGTCCAACAGCTAGTACAGGATTCCACCGCTCTCTAATTTCCACCCATTCAGAGAAGGATTTCAATTCCTTTACAAGGCACCCAGTAATTGTTATGCTTGACACATTTAACACTTAAATTTTCTTAAAGTTTTTCCAACTCGAACACAGCAACTTTCTGTCAGTCTGCTCAATTCAGCATGCTGGGCTTCTCTTGTAGCACGAACCCTTTCTTATCCCAGAGAAAGAAAGAGCTCATTGCTCTCTGCTTACTTCCAATGCTGTTGTTCAGTACAACACCTACCAAGTACCACACATGCAGTGCCTTCTAAAGAGACAGGCAGACTCTTGGAAGTAAGCCATCAGTGGGGTTTCAAGATGTCATATCCTTACTGCTGTTCATAAGACAAGAGATGAATACTAACTGGCTGAACATCCTATGCAGATTCCATATTTTAATCACTTCTACCTTTCACTCCGGTATTTCCCACAAACAGGTCAGGAGACTGCTGTGTCTCGAGTCTGGCAGCCTCAGGTGCAAAAAACACAGATCAGCGTTCCTTACACCTTTCTAAATCATTCATTACTCTGTTATTAACAGAAAAACACTTCTGAGTTTAGGAGACTTCCATATGGTTAGGTGAAAATGTAAACTTTTGTTAAGCTTACAGCTATACAACTGTCCTTTCTAGATGAACCAAGATTTTGATTATATATACACCTTTTTTAAAAAGGTAACCACAAAAATACTTGTTATTCTCCCTACTGGGGTTCAGAAAAAAAAAAAAACAAACAAAAAACAACAAACCAAAAAAATCCTTATCCACACAGCTATGCCAGCAGAATCCTTAAGTGTAAACATGTACAAAAGTAAAGCTGCACTTTCACCAGTGCAGCTTGTTTTGCTCGGAGCAGGACAGAATTACTATAACAATATAAAACATAACTTCTCATCCTATATGTGGGTCCTCACAAAGCACTGCCAGTGCATAATGGGAACTCTGTCTTTCTTGGACAGACACCAGCACAGCTGTAAATGAGAAAAATGCTGCAAGTGAACTTAACACCTGCATCAAGTAAATACCTACAAACTGAGAAACACTTTCTAAACATAACTAAAAATGGTTATAAAATCAAAAGGAAACATATGTAGTAATGATAATTGTATACAATTCAATTACCTTTTACAACCTGAAGAATTGTTATGAGGCAACAAAAGCCAAATCCCGCAGCACTTAATATTTGGAGCTAATCCACCTTTCAAGATTTGACAAGCTATCAAGAAACTACTTTACAACCACTGTAAAGGAAAAAAGATGCAAGTATTTCCAAAGCCATTTTCAAAAGTCACCATTATTTAGATAAGCACTAGTGCTGTGAAGATAAAAATCAGCCTTTACCTTGATCACAATGTACAAAGTTTCACCACTACTCCCATCCTGTCACCACCTGCTTCACAGCTTCTCCTATGGTTTCTGTCCTCCACCAACTTCAACACAAAATACACTTAAGACACAGAACTACTTAAGAACTGACTCTAATACCTTCCTATTGAATGGAAATTAATCATTAATAAATAATAATCTGCTAATACTTTTCAAGCCTATTTCAAGATAGCTGAGGCAACACAAACTTACTTTTCTTATTCTGCTACCTTTCCTATCATTAAATTCTCCAGCTGCATTGCAACTGAAATTAGATCCCACTTCTTTGGGGCAAAAACTGTTTTTGTATTCAGTTTTGGGCACTCTGTATCTTCTATGAGTGCATTATTTCAAGAGGTATCCATTTTCATTTCTGAATATCTTATTATCAGTCTCCACCACAGTGGCACAATGATCATAAAAGGCACATATTTATAATCAAATGGCTACTTGAGAAAGACTATTTTCTTGAAAAATAAGACAGTGAAACACTCAGCAAAGCTCTAAACACCTCCTGAAAAGTAATTTTAAAATATACACCATGCAGAGCTTCAAGTGCTAAGTGGTTAAATTCACTGTGTACTACTACCAAGTCACTATGCAGTAAAGCTATGTCCAGCATCTAAGGAGAAAGACAGCAAGAAACTGGCGTGTTGCAGATTACTCCAATGAGCCATCACCTACAATCACAGCCTTCTTTTGTCTGAAAAATGCAACTGGCCAGGCTGAATCAATACTTCAAAACGTTTTTTTACAGCTACACAGCTGTACCAAAGACCGGACAAGTAAACAGTCTGCTAAACATTCATTGTTAAGTAGGTACTCACATTTGACACTGGAGACAGTTTTTGAAGCTGTCCATCATCAGGAAAAATCTAGTGTTCCCTAGCTAAACAATTTTTAAGAATGCATGTGGTAATGATTAAGAACATTTAAGAAATGCAAATATACTGAAAAGAGATAGCCTTATGTAAGTATATGCCAGTCAAAAATGCAACACTACTAGTAAGTTTCCCCGATAACACCTTGTACAACAGGTATCTACATTTATGAAATTTGACCCCAAAAATGTGATGAAATGCTTAATTGCTAGTTATAGAAGTAATTAGTATAAAGGTACAGGAAGTTTCCACGAAGTGCCAACGCATGGTGACATGGTGCAGCAAAGTTTAGGCCCTCAAAAACATGGAAATGGGTGAGAACTTGTTTCTCAATGCCTAAATACGTTAACCTTAATAATTACAGGCACTCTTAAGAATGCAGCAAATTCTACTGGCTGCTGAGCAAGGAATGTGTTTTCCTGGAAAGCAAGGCACATTTTGAGCAATACTTTAATGATACAAACAAACAAAAACCCCAACCACCACCAAACTAGCAAACCCCAAACAACACCACCAAAACAATACTGAAGGAACACTAGTTCAGAGAACTAGTTCAAAGAACTAAGACACCAGTCTCAAAGAGCAAAAAGAAACCCACTGCCCAAAACCAACCAACCAAAGACAAGAGTACAACTAGAGACGGGGTACACAGCAGAGCCCCTAAGATATTCTTTTATACAACGCTTACTGCAATGTGCAAAACCATTATGAACTAGGCTACGACTAGTTTACTTTGACAAGATGCAGCATTTTAAGGTTCCTATAAAAGGCACAAGGGGCAGGTATTTAGTGGGCTCCATATAAACCAAGACACAGTCTAGGAGGTTTGCATGCTCTGAAGCCAGAAAATTAAAAGAACTCACTTGTATTCATCACTTTCCAAAACAACAATATTGAAGACCTACGCCAAAACTCTTCACCTTAAACTAAAGGCTATGCAAGCAATTATTCTCAAAAAACACAGTTATAAAGACTTCTACTGTTCCTAAAACTCATTCCTCCACCTTCCAAGACCTTCTCACGTGAAAGTGTGTCCTCTGAAAGTGCCCAGGATGTCACAAAAAAAAGTGTTAGTGATTTCATGTGTGGAGAACATGATTTTGTCTTCTCCTGCCATTTCAGAAAGAAAGATCTTACTTTCTAGGGTTACTTTAATAATCTATAATGTTAACCAAAAGAACTACAAGGGGTTTCCTACAAAAACATGGTGGTCATCATTATTAGTGCAAAACTGAAGACAAAAATCCATCTCTCTTCAAAGTTTCCTGTGGCCTGTCCTATTAATGGCAAAAAAAAGCTAAAAACTTAGTTATCATTCTTTTAAATTCCTCTAGGAGTATTACAAATCAATGCCAGATTTTTATACTAGTAGCAAACCGCAGAGGACAGTCGTGTTGGCTGATAAAAATATCTTCCTCTGCCCTCAAAAAAATGCTCTTTAAACCACTACATTTTTTCCAGTGCAGGAAATTCTTCCGGGTTCCAAACTGAATAATATTTACACCTGAACATCTATTCCGAGCTGATAAATCAATTTTCTTTCATTACTATTGTTTTGACCGTACTTTAACAGGCACATGTCTGAGTTTGATCCTCCAAAAGCCCTAGAACTTACTCTCTGTCGACAAGAAGACCTTAAAAGAATAAAAAAGGCGCGGGTCGTGACAGGTCTAATTGATTTAGGGTAAATGACACCTCATCTGCTCCTCTGTTTGGATGCCGCCCTGTAATGACCGCTGTGGTCGCTCCGCCCGGCGCGGGCCATCACGCTTTGCCCGCAGCGTGCGGAGAGCGCTTCGCCAGCGCAGCCCACGCGGGGAGCGCGGGCACGGCCGGAGCGCTCGGGAGAGCGGTCCCGGGGCTGCGCCCGGCGCCCCCAGCGGCTGCTCCGCGGCGGCCGCACCCCCGTCCCCGCTCACCTCGGCGGCCGGGATGTTCACCACACCTGTCGACCTCCTCTTCTCCCTCAGCTTCCTCTTCTCGATCTGCCCCTTCCCCTTCCTGGCACTGGGGCCTGAGCTCTTTCCCTTGGCAGCCAGCTTCTCCTCGCCCTCGGGGGAGTCCGGCGCGGCGCCGGTCTCGACCCCGCGGCCCCCGGCGAGGGCAGGCGGCGGCTCCTTGGCGGGGGCTGCGCGGCCCAGGGCGGCGCTGGCCAGGCTGACGCAGTTCACGGCCCCGCCGGCGGGGGGCGCCGCGCGGTCGGGGGGCAGGTTGTTGTTGTTGCTCAGCTCGGCGGAGGGGCCGCCCCCCGCGGGACGGGGCTCCCCTCCGGCCGGTGCGCCCGGGGCCGGCGGCGCCTGCTTTGCCCGCATCTTCTCCCGCTTGGCTTTCCACTCCTCCAGAAAGTCCGTGGTGCTGCCCCCGGCGCTGCGGTAGCCGCCGGTCGCCATGTTCCCAGCGGGCTGGACGGCGAGAGCGCCCCACCAGCACCTCTGCCGTCGCCCGCCCTGAGGCGGCTCTGCTGCCGCCCGGAGAGGAGAGGTCCCGGCGGGGCGGGCGGGAGAGTCGGGGGCGGGGAGAGAGGCTCGGAGAAGCACAAACACCCTGGAGAGAAACAAAAGCGGGGACGTGAGCCGTCCCGCCGCACTGCCCATCCCCGTCCCGCTGCCCCGCCAACTCCCTGGGAAACAACCCGGGTACGAGTCTCCATCACTGCCCGCTCTCACACGCTCGGCTCCCACGGCTCGGACCGCGCCGCCCGAACCCGCCGCGGTGCCCCTCGCTCCCCGGGGCTCCCCTCATCCCTCGGCGCAGGGCCGCCCGGCGGCGCCCGCCTTCCCGCCCGCCCGCCCGCCCGCCGCGGCCACGACGACCGCACAGCGCCGTCCCTCGCTCCCAGCCCGGCGGGTGCTGTGTCCCCGATCCTGGTGCCATCCCCCCGACGCCCGCTTGCCTGCTCGGAGAGCCGCGTTCCCGCGCGGAGCGGGGCGGGGCGAGCGCGGCAGGCGCTCACCTCCCGCCCGGCGGGGCCGCGGCTCGGGCGCTCCCCAGCGCCGGCGGCACCAGGTGAGCGGCACCGCCTCCCGCCGTCCCGGAAGGAGCGGCGCGCCCCCGAGGCTTTCCGAGCTCCCTCCCCTTTCCCCATCGCGGCGCGGACGCAGCCGAAGCCAGGGCGGAAACTGCCGAGATGGCCTCGACAAAGGGGTGAGGGCGGGGAGGCCCCGCCCGGGCCGGTGCGCGCCGCGACCCGACCGCCCCGGGTGCTGGCCCGCCTTGGGGCCGCGGCACCTGCCCCAGGCAGCGGGAGCGGACACAGACCTCGGCGCCTCCGATGAGCAGCAACCAGGGCTGGAGAGGGCGAGGGGCGCCGCGGGAGAGCGGGATGAGTAGGACGGCCACCGCCGCCAAACGCCGCCAGCCCCGGCCCGCCCTCCACACCCCGGGCAGCTTTAACGGGCGGCGGGCGGGGGCTGCGGGAGCACAGCCGGGAGGGGCCGGAGGAGGCGGTCTAGTGTCACCCCTCTCCGCAGGGAGCTCCGCCGAACCCGCCCCGCACCTGCCGCGAAGCTTCGGGTGAGGGGCCCCGACGTGCGGCCGCCTCCCGCGGGGCAGGTGCCGGGCTCGGCCCTCGGGCGGGGCGGCTCCCGGGCACCGCCGGCCGCTATCGCCGGCGCCGAGGCAGGAGCAGCGTGTGCAGCCCGGCTCGGTCAGCCCGCGGCCCCGCTCCCATCAGGGACACGCCGCTGGGACGGGAGCACCCGCTTGGCCTGGAGACGTGGTCCGCCGGACAGCGGGGCTGTGCCCGGGGGGAGGAGCCCGCGATCGGTGGCTGCCGCGGCATTAATGACTTCCCCGGGGCCGCTCCAGCGGTGGTCAGACCGCAGCAGCTGGTGGAGTTCGCTCCGCGGGCGGAAGGTTGAGAAAGAGCTTATGTTTTCCTGATGTGACAAGAAACAAGAATTCAAGGGGTTTCCTTGAGTCACACTGCAAAGACTTGAAAGATGTCTCGTTTATAAATAATAACAGCTCTCAGTGGGGAAACTTGACTGCGTTGAATGTTGGGGAAAACGAACATGTAGGGATCGTGATGGGAGTGTGCGTATCTGTTAAACAGCTTGTGTAGGTGTTAAGATGGCTAAACCTGCACGGAAAAACTCAGCTTTTTTTCGTTTGCCCGAACCCACCGTATCTTAATTGCACTCTGAAAACTGATCGTGGTACTTTTGGAAATCACTGATTTCAATAGACTTGTGGCTTGCCTAATCAGCTTTATAAGGTGTATGCTGAGGAAAATTAGTGGATCGGTGCTACCTTTCCAGCATCAGGACAAGATAGAAGTTTACATCAGTCAGAGGAAATACACAGCCTGGGCTTACCTAGCTGAGGGGACGTGATCACCTTTTCATCACTTTTTTCCCCTTTTTCAGATTCAGTCTTGCTTTAGTCCACCTCGTTAACAAAATTCAGTATATAAACTTTGCAAAGGTTTTTGGTTTCTTTTTACAGAAAAAAAAAATTCTAGGTGCTACAGGTATGGGTAAAAAATATCCAGCAAAATGAGGCTCCACATCTGACGCTAGGCACTCTGCACAGTGTAAATAACAGGCTTAGCCCATGTAACCACTTTCACCTTAGGTCTCTACCTTGTTCTCTTTCACAGTAGTGGGCACAGTCTCAACCTACCAACCTTCTCTGCCCTTCTGGTGATCATTCATTTACTTGGACTTTTCACTGAACTCGTATCTGATTTCTGCTCTGGTTTGGGTTTAAGGGTGTTTTTGGTGTGGTGGTTGGTTTTGAAGGGGTGTTTAAATATTTGTATATGTGGAAGTTAAGGTACAGTTTTATCACTGCAGATGAAACCTTTTATATTTCAGGCCAAGGGAAAATCCCCAAACAAAACTGGCTAGTTGTTCTGTGTTATGTTGGAAAGCTGTAAAGAGGAAGAAAAATAGATAGTGAAAACATAGTTTTGTACTCTTTACTACTCAGTAATACAAAATTAGTGAAGTTGGTTCCTAAAAAATATTTTGACTAAGCACTCTCCTAAAAAATAATTTTTACCTGCACTCTTATCTGTAGAGTTTTTGAGTTAGACAACTACTCAATTGTATTTCTAGAAAATATAATCTAGAAAAAGGATTGCTCATGTGAATTCTTGTCTGCCTTTCCCCTCCTGTAATTTTTTCCATTTATAAAATGAAGAGCTTTTCTTGAGAGAATCATGTAACCGTGACAATAATAGTATTTCGCCCTCACTTTTACACACCATGAGCAGCACAGCTGACCAAAAATAAGTAAAAGAAGTCAGGTTAGGAAGTTGTTACTTATAGTATGTTGTGAATATGGAGAAATATAACAATGTATTTTAGTGTTTCGGGCACCCTCAGTTCTCTGTTACCCCAGGTCTCGCCAGCTGCTCCGGGGGCCCCTCTCTCTGGTAGTCCTTAGCAGCTGGCAAGGCTTAGATGTGCATGTCCCACTTCGCATCTGATCTGCCCACCTTTCTTATGTGTGGGAGGTGATGTGTCCAGGCTTTAGCTGCATCTACCAATGCTGTTGGATTTACTATTTTTTTTCTGATGTAAAATACGTTGTGCGGTTTGGGATTTTTGGTTTGGGATTTTTTTAGTGCCAAAAAGGCTTTGTGTGCCTTACAGTCTGTTATATATTAACAGAAGTTATGTTGTGGTGAGTGAGGTTGGGTTTAAGTGCCCAATACAAAAATGCTGACTATCAGATGTTTGCATCTCAATAAGGTTGTCTGTGCTGGAGAGCTTTCAGGGATAAAGTCCCAAATAGTTTAAGTATCATGCTGCATGTTTTCCTCTGCCACAAGGGAGTACAGCTTAATAGCTTGCAAACGTTTTTAGAACAGCACTTTTTTCTTACAAAGAAAAAAAAATCTTCAGGATATCCTTAAGGCCTAGAAATACAATTCATTTTATTAGCTACGTTTTAAACTGGCATAATGACAAGGGACCTTAAGCCTTAAGATACTGCTTTTTGTATATTCAATATTATGGAATACGATTCTCCCCTAGAGGTAAAATTACCACCAGGACTGGGTAGGATGATCTTGATCTCCTTTGCTATGCAAAAAATACTTCATTTTTCAATTTAGACTAAAACCCATAATTCATTCCTAAAATATCAAGGAAATGAAGTGTGTTTTGGGGTTGGGCACTTCAAAGCTCCTTCCTTTGTAAAGGGTTGCAAGCTGCTTGAGTTCTTTTAATTTATTCTAGAGATTCAACCAAATTATCCAGCCTTTTTAAGGTTCTGCTTACAAGTTTATCTGAGCCATAATCTTTTCTGAAGTGGCAATTTTCAAGGGCTGGAAAATAAACCAGTGAATATAATAACATATTACTGGCTGAAAAAATTAAGGACAACATCCAAATTCCTGCCCAGTATCTGTTTGCTTGTTACTATTGTGCTCTGAGCTTACACTCTGCTTTTTACACCCATTGATGCCTGCATGTTCTGTACTGAAATTCCCTCCCTCTCACCCTCTTCAGCATCTCTGGAAGTTCTCCCCAAAGCCTCTGTTGAGGTTACTGTATTCTCCTCCCTGTTTCCCAAACACACATGCTTCTCCTTCTGCTCGTATTTCTTTAGGCCCCTGCTTGTCTTACCTGAACTTCCATGAAACTCTTTCACTTCGTGCACCTATCTACTGCTTCCCGTATCTGGTCCGCTTTGAAGTCCATTCAGTCAGCACCCTTCATGTTTCTTCTCCCAATACAAATTTTTTCAGTCACATACTTGTTCTACCTGCTTTATTAAACTAGGTTTATTAAGCTTGCTCTGGTGATGTCCCGTTAAATTTTCCCTCTCTGCTGCTTTAAATTTTCCCTGCTGGATAATCCTCACCCACATCACTGTACCATAACTAACCTACCTACCTGCTTATTTCTGCACTATCTATCTAATAATGCTGTTGCTTAAAATTGCTATGACTTAGTGAAATCTTACTGCCATCTTTTTGTAGAAATCTCTGTCCCTCCTTTTATCCATAAAATTTCAAAAACCTCTCTTTAAATCTTTCACTTTAAATCTCTGGTTGTAACTTCCATCTAATCTTCCTGTAAACTTCCCACCTATGCTCCATGACATTTCTAATGTTAAATCTCCCCTGAAAGTAAAATAATCCTTAAGCATAGCACCATTATCCCTCTTGATTCCTCTTCTTTAACCTTTCATTACTAATGGTTGGGTATTTTGGTGGTTTTGTCTAAATAGAGATGAACTGCTACACTTTTCAATTTAATACTGCTTTCTGCTACTTCTGAGGTATGCATGCCATTCTGAGAGGCTTAGCCTATTATCATGGATTTTTTTTATTTCCTAAACTTTTCTTGCAGAAATTAATTAAATTATTCTTTTTCTCCCCCCTCATTGGAGCTTTGTGTCACAGCACTTAACTTTCTGGCAAGATTTTCCTCCGTAAGGTTCTAACAACTGATTATGTTCTAATGATGACTGGATTGCTTTCTTATGGTTTGTGCCTGCAAACTCATACAAAGCTGACAATCCCACTTTTACTGAAATGCGAATTTTGTCATGTTTGTTGTGCTACTGAATGGGATGCTTAAACCTTT